GGGCGGGGCGCCGCGGGCACCCCTGCGCTTCTTCTTCTTGGCCGGACCCGGACGTCCACGAGCAGCGCCACCACCCGTGGTCGGGGCCGAGGGCGCGGCCGAAGCCGCATGGGGCGGCACATAGCGGTGGGGAGCATCGAACGGCGGGGGGGCCTGAGCGCGGGGGGAGGCTAGCCGAGCAGGCCGAGATGGGGAGGGCGAGCGCCCCTGGCACGGAGGAGGGGACGGGGAGTGACGGCGCGCACGCCAGTCGCCTGAGGCGGCCGGGTGGGGGGAGCGGGAACGACCCCGGCCCTCCCGGCGGGAAGGGGAGCGGCGGCCCTCCCGCAGTTCCCTGAGCTCCCGACGGAGCTCTTCTTCGCGCCTCAGGGAGTCCGGGGAGGGGCGCGAGCTTTCCTGGCGGTCACCGACCCGACGCTTGGAGCGAACCGCCCCATCGCCCCACTCCCGCGGCATGGGGGACGCGACAGGGAGGGGGGACGCGGGCGGCGCGGTGGGGCTGGAAGCCGAAGGCGAGGAAGGGGGCGGGAAGGCGCCGGACGGGGGGAGGGATGGTGTCGGGGGAGATCGGGTCGGCGCCGTGGGGGATCGGGTTGGGGGACGGGATGAGGCGGCGGAGAGGAGAACAGGGGGGCAAGGGAGGCCACAAGGCAACCAGATCGAGCAAACTGTCTCCCTGGGCCTAGGGCAAACGCGCAGCCCAGTAGCTGATTGGCAGCCCAGGGGGAGGGGGAGAGGCCACCCGACAGGCCACGCTGCAGGGACGGGCCGGGGCCCAGGAGCCCAGGAGCGAGGGCGGCCTGGCCCACGAGGCGGGCACGCACCCTCGCCCGAAGCGATTCCCTGCCCAGGGCAGGCGCCGCCGTCGCCGCCGGCACGAGCCGGCAGGTCACCGGGAGGGGAGCACGCAACGCAGAATCGCATGTCCGACGTCCCGAAACAAGCTATGAAGGGGCGGAAGGGAGAGAATCTCGTGGGCGCCGCCGACGCCGGTGGAGGAGACAGGGCCGCGGAGGGCAGGGGGGCACCGGCCGGACCGCCGCCGTCGGGCGACACCAGGAGGAGCGGGCGGCCCCCCGGTCAGAGCGGCCAGCCACGCCCCAGGTGAGACCGCGCCGGCGGCGAGCCGCGCCACCAGCCAAGGCCCTGCCTTTGGCACCGTCCGCCCGAGGCTGGCTCGAGGGCGTCGACGGTGGCCGCGACACCCGCGAGGCGGCGGCAGAACCCCGCACGAGGGGGGCTGAGCCACCAGCCCGGCAAAGCACCACGGCGCGGCGAGGGACCGAGGCGGAGGGGGCGGAGGGGGAAGCGGGCGGCGGGAAGGGCTCGTCATCCGCGCAGTCGGACCATCAGAAGCGGGGCGCGGAGGGCGCCACGGGCCCGACCAGCGCCGGAGCGGGTGGGGGGAGGGGCTGCTGCGGCCGCGCCAGGGCGGGGGGCACACCGGCCGGCACGGAAGGAGCGGAGGCGGAGGGAGCATCGGGGAGGGGGGGGGGGCGGCGCCGCCGTCCAAATCGCCAGAGACGCCCATCAGAAGTGCTTATTTCAACCTGGTTGCAATCCCCGGTGCTAGCTTTTGGTTAGAGACGTTGTTATCTTATCATGCTTCGGATGAAACCTGGGCTTTCAGGTCTTCTCTACTACTAATACAAAAGACCAAAAAGAAAAATGTGTCTGCGCAAAAATAAAATTTGTCCTAGGCGCGCATAATATAGCCAAAACATAAGAAGTGTTTAGTGACGCACATATGTGAATCCAAACACAAAATCCGATCCAATATAAAATAAACTCCAAACACAAAAACATATTCATATGTACATATCATATACATCGTGTATACATGTAAAGGGAAGATGGAAAAAGATTGAGCAGCTGCACCATGCAACACCTCGCAGACAAAACACTCCGGTCGGGAACTAGAGCTCAGGCTCTAACGGCATGTACACAACACGAGCGCGCGCACATATAGTGTATACTAGTATAACAATCACACGCGCGCGCGCGCGCACACACATACACATGTATAGTACTGTATAGATTAATACTTAGATAACATGCAGTACGTGGATGTAGCTAGTCCGATCATGGCTTGGTCTTTGGCTCCGGAAAGTGGAACTCGGGCTTCGGAGGCAGCTCGGCTTTGGGGGGCAGCGGCATTTCGTGCTTCGGGACCTCTGGCACAGCAGGGTGCGGTAACTCGGGCTCTTTCGGCACCTCAGGGTGCGGCACATGGGGCTCCGATGGCACCTCTGGCACGCCATGGTGTGGCACTTCAGGCTTCGGCAACTCTGGCATCGCAGAGTGCGGCAGCTCAGGCTCCTTTGGTACCTCCGACACGACAGGGTGTGACACCTCCGGCATGACAGGGCGTGGCAGATCGAGCTCCTTTGGCACCTCCGGTACGATTGGGTGTGGCCCTTGAGTCTCCTTTGGCACCTCAGGCACAACCGGATGCGGCAGTTCAGGCTTTGGGATCTCGGGCATAGCAGGGTGCGGTGGCAGCTCATGCTTTGGCACCTCCGGCACCTTGGGGTGTGTTACTTCAGGCTCCTTTGGCACGATGGGGTGTGGCGCTTCAGTGTCCTTTGGCACCTCCGGCACAGCCGGATGCGGCAGTTCAGGCTTGGGGAGCTCGGGCATAGCAGGGTGTGGTGGAAGCTCGTGCTTTGGCATCTCCGGCACCACGGGGTGTGGCACTTCAGGCTCCTTTGGTGTCTCCGGCACCACGGGGTGTGGCACTTCGGGCACGAGAGGGTGCGGTGGTTCAGGCTTTGGCAGCTCAGGCATGGCAGGGTGCAGCGGGAGTTGGGGCTTTGGCAGCTCCGTGACGATCGGATGTGGTGGATTCTCCTTCTTGGGCACAGCCTCCTCTAGGTGCCGCGCTGCACTGCTCATGGAGCTGCATGAGAGCAGCAGCGCCACAAGGAAGACAAGGAAGGTGTTCTTGCACAACATGGTTGAGGCCGTACGTGTGTGCTTCTGGTTCTTGGTGTGATGGCTGGGAAATAGAAGAAGGCTGGTATTTATAGCCAAAATGCTACACCCTACATGCAGCCGGGCGGGTATAACATGCATGCATGTTTGCGGTAGACACTAGTAGTGTTCTGAACTTTGGTGCCTTGGTGGCCTGGTAGGTCACCTGCATCTCGGTGGTTGTTTACTCACTTCCTCTGCCTATCCATCTCTTGTTATGTGTAGTTAAATTAGTTTAGAATATTGAGGAGACATGAGTGATGACATGATATGGTCGGTGAAACATTTCAAGCTCTAATTGTTTGTTTACTTTGCTCTAAAAATAGGCTCTAAGATTGTACCTCCAGATCGCATCTCACGAAGCTCCTAACCCTCCTGCTCCCCTGCGGCGCCGCCGCGCTGCACCGGAGCGCCCCCACCGGCCGTCTCTCGTTCACTCCGGCGCACAGCCCCTCCCCGCCACCGCCGCCAGGGGCGTCGCAGGCAAAGACTGTGTGCCGCAGTGGCGGGGGCGGCGTTTCTCCTCGGCCAACGATTCTGTTAGGACGGCGGCGGTCCATGATGGCCGGATCTACAACAGTGGTGCGGGGCGGCGGCGGCCAGGCAGGCGGCGGCGGCCAGGCAGGCGGCGGCGTTCAGCGACGGCTGCTTGGGCATACGATCTGGGTCCAGATGGCTTCGGGCGGGCCGCACTTGCTGATGTCATGTATCGTCCCTTCAACGGCATGTTGCCCCTGGGATCGACTCGCTTCACGAGGACTTCGGGGACTCCGTCCTTGGGCGTGGCGGTGGTGGCCGCCTCCTTCACCGGAGATGGTCAGCCTGAGGTTGGGTGGTCTGATCTCCAGATCCGTCATCTAGTCCCGGCTGCGAGTTGGGTAGGCAGAGTTGCCAGTAAAAACCGAGCCGATGGCGGTGTCTTGCGTCGTTACCATGATGAAGGCATCATCGTGTAACTTATGTCGACTCACTCGTGCTGCTTCGGGGAAAACCCTAAGATCTAGACATCCAGATCGGACGATGGCGTTACTGCGGTGTCGTTACTCTATTGGGAGCATCATTTGTGGATCAGCGCTGGAAGACAGAGGCAGGAGGTGGAGCGACTAATTAAGTCTTGCACGAAGCATCGGTGGATATGTCAAGTCATGCCTGGCTGGTAGGTGCTACGTTGTGTCATGCCTGGTCGGCAGGTGCTACGCACAACAGATCTTTCAGAGTCTTCGCGTCTTGATGAATGTGCGCAGGGCGGTAGCGCCGTAGTGGCGTCGACAGATGTCTGGATTGGCAAGGATGATGTGAATCTCTATCCTAAAGATGGGTCAGCGGTCCGAGGATGATGTCTGCTTCTGGCTTCTAAAACGTGTGCATGTGGTGCGCGCTTTAGATCTACTGCACCGGCTGTTGGTCCCAACACGTTATGTGGATGGATCGGCGACGATACCAGTTTTAGATATGTGAGGTGAGAGCACTTCACATTATCGAGTTTATAGGTGTGAGTGGTTACTTTGGGTGGCTTGATGTATTTTCTTGTCAGTCATTTGTGAAATAATTAATGAAGATTGGTTTGCATCGATTGATGCAGAGGTCGGGGGTTTAGCCTCCTTTTCCCAAAAAAAAAAAGATTGTACCGGAACCTGCTGTCCAAATGTAGCATATGAATACATGCTACTCAGCCTACACACCGAGATATCCTGTGCTACAGCGAACCTAAACGCAAGTGTTTTTGGATGACTCGATAACTGGTCGCTCGGTTCTGCAGCGCAGCTGCACCTATCTCGTCGAACTGGCTGATCTCCTGAAGAGGCCATACATCAGTCCCTAGTTGGCCGTTTGGTGATGGATTGAGCGCGCACGCGCTCGCGTAGGAGCGTCCGTCGCCGTACCGCGGTGTCAGGTCACTCTGACGCACGGTCGACCTGGTACGGCAGGTGTTAGGTCACCACTCACCGGCGAACGGCTGTGGTCAGGAAACATCCCCGTGCCCTTTATTTTGACATGTTTATTGTGGTGGTTGTGCTTGATTAGGGTTAGCTAGCTCCACGTCACCGAGCTCCGTAGTCAGAGATCGCATGCAATCTATCATGTGGATGTGGGATGTGTCTATCGGCAAGGCGGTTGCTTTGTTGCAAGTTGAGCAGAAAACGACTTGCGGGTATATTAGTTGGGAGCAGTGAGTGCTGATCAGCATACCTTCTTCTTTTTTATCAGATGAGCAGACTTGCAGGTCAAGGACAAGCTGCTGAGATACTCCATGGTGTTATGAACTATATTTGACTTCGCTAGTTCCGAATCGAGTTGAAAATGACTATTCCATGACGTGACCATCCCTTCTTCAAGCAACTTAAAGCTACCTAACTCCTCAGGTACCAAAGCCAGACGCACACAAATATCTTCAGGTACCTCATTGTATTTTGGATCGATTTTTTTACATAAATTTAAGTTGTATGTAGCAAAAATAGTACAAGAGTATTTTTGACACTCCATTCAAAACTACTTTCGAATGCAAATCTAGCAAATACACTTTTTATAACATATTACTTGATACCCTGAATGCATGGCGCTTTAGGAGAAGTACGTTAACCGAAGCTACGTAACAAAATGACTATATATTGTTAACTCCTTCTCGTTTTGTTATACATTACTTTCGGCGTCACGTTTACTCCCCATATAAAAACAAGAATATCTCTCGCAAAAATAAGTTATAATTTATGCAAAATAATCAATATTGGAAATAACAGTCACTAACTTCATTAGCACACCTTGTTGGTTTAGACCCCATTTGGAACATTTTTGTTAATCAAATGGGTGAAAAACTATATCTTGTAAGTACCTTTAATGAAGATTTTTTATTTTTATTATGTTGGGATATAACAACATAATGTTGCATGTATTTTTTAGTTGTTGTGACAAAGGTTATAAAGATTTGTAGATGTCAGATAGGTTAAATCTATTGCCCGCAAAAAAAGATCTCCTTCTTTTGTTTGTTGAATGAAATTTAAACTTGCTTACCATCCAATATTTCTCACCTCCTTATTTGCTTTGGAACATGAAAATGTTTCCACCATTCACATCAACTTTGGCTAAGAAAAAGAAGAAAAAAAACAGCCTATTTTGTATGGCAAAATAGGCATCCGCCTTCGAGTTTTTGCAGGAACATCTGAAAAAAATAGCCGCAGAAAACTTATTTGTAAAAATAAAATCACCAATAGTATATAGGTGATGTTTTTGACTTATGTCTAGAAATTTATTAAAACTCTGACTGTTGATATTGTTTTAAACAATTATATAGAAACTTTGAAAATGTCATTAGTTTATTTTTTTGACTTATGTGTAGATTTGTCGAAAAGTATTTTGAAAATGTCATTAGTTTATTTTATTGTTAGTTGCAAGGAAGGTGCTCTGTCAATTTCAAAGGCAAAAAATTATAGAGTGACCAGGCTTATTGAGGAAACTAGACCGAAAGCCAAAAAAAGGTAAAACAACACCGCTAGGCATTGACCAAGCTAGACCACCAGCACCAACGTGACCGTAGCCCGAGGAGTAGTGAGCAGAATCTTCGGAAAACGCCTCCAATGAGGAAAATAACGTCGCAGTCACCAACATTGACCCCTGTTGAAAACCAAGCTTTCACTCTGAACTGTACATAACCATCTAGCCAAACTTTGGTGAAGAATGCGGTAACACAAAAAAAGCCCCAAGCTTTCGACCTACTTTGGACCGTCAATTAATGTCCAAAGCACCACTTGTCGGTGTCAAAACCGGCGGATCTCGGGTAGGGGGTCCCGAACTGTGCGTCTTAGGATCAATTGTAACAGGAGGCAAGGGACACGATGTTTTACCCAGGTTCGGGCCCTCTCGATGGAGGTAAAACCCTACATCCTGCTTGATTAATATTGATGATATGGGTAGTACAAGAGTAGATCTACCACGAGATCGTAGAGGCTAAACCCTAAAAGCTAGCCTATGGTATGATTGTTGTTGTATATGTCTATCGACTAGCCTGGCCCTGGTTTATATAATGCACCAGAGGCCTAGGATAACAAGAGTCCTAGCCGAATACGCCGGTGGGGGAGGAGTCCTTGTCTTGATCGCCAAGTCTTGTTGATTCTTCCTTGTATGTGGCAGCTGTCCGGACTGGCCCATGAGTATACGGCCATGGGGGTCATCGGCCCAATCCAACTGATCGGGAGATGACGCGTTGAGTACCCCCTAGTCCAGGACACCGTCAGTAGCCCCCTGAACCGGTCTTCAAGTTAGGGACGCTCCTCGATTCTTTCGAACTGTTCTTCATCTTTGGTTGCCGGTCTTGAAAACTGGTTCAACAAATCTTCTCATCTTCTATCTTGAGGATCGCCGAAATGCATTCGACGAGTTTACGCGTTGGGCATCCGAGGATCCCCTTTAAGTTTACGGCCTTTATCAATGCCTTGTTATTTTTATGCCATGCCTCGGGTTTGAAGTTGTTCCCGGGTGGGAAGGTCCTCTTGCGTCCGAGCTCCAACGCCGGACTGCATTCGAGGTATCTTTTGCAGCCGAGCACCAATGCCGGACTGCTTCCCAGCTCTAACGCCGGACTATGTATCTGAGCTCCAACGCCGAACTATATCCGAGCTCCAACGCCGGACTTTATCCGAGGTGTCATAAATCACCTTGGTTCAAAGAAGTTTGAAGGAGTTTAACCGAGCTTAACGCCGGAAATGCCCTCTAAGGAGCCAGCCACTTGCATCCGAGCTATATGTCGAACTACTTCCGAGGTGGTTAAGCACCTCGGTCGTCGGCTGATTTTTGGTCAATGTTTTTTATTGATGTAATTTATTCTCTGACGAGATATATAGCCAGTAGCCCTCAAGGTATGTATCGGTCTAAAACCCGAGATGCACCTGAAGGATGACGTAAGACCGCTGATCCCCGTAGCCACTGAGACTCAGGTTGATTTGCAAAATCGGTCTGAGGATCAAGTCCTAGCTCGGCAGAATACTTCG